TTTGACGAGTTTCTTCTTGTACACATTGTGCAATCAACTCATCAAAGTCCCCGTTTTGTCTTGCGTGTTGTAGGAAACCTTTAACTGGCTATATCTGTTGGGAAGTGCTTAGAGAATCATGAATACCATCTGTTTTTCACCAATGTTTACATCCATTTAATTGAGTTTTTCCGCAACATCAGTTATCTTCATGATGTGGTCCCTTATAGAACCAGTACCCTCAATCTTGTATGTAGTCAATAGAGACATGTATTGACTCACTTCAGCTTTCTTAGATTACCCTCAATCTTGTATATAGTCAATAGAGACATGTATTGACTCACTTCAGCTTTCTCAGATTCTTTAAATTTCTTTTCAATTGCATTCAAGTAGTCAATAGCCAAATTAGGTTTCTTGATTCCTTCTTGAATTGTATCAGTCATACCACTCTCTAAGATAGACAGTGCCACTTTATTAGCTCTTGTCCATCTCTCAAAATTTGCTTTTTCAGCTCTGGTGCTCTGATCATTGATGACAGGCTTGGGATTGTCAATTGCTATATCAAACTCATTTAGAGTTAATAGCAAACTAATGTCCCTTCTCCACTTCTTGTAATTACCCCCACCAGCGAGGATTGGAATGTTAACTAAATTGAGGGTCTTCATTAACATTGCAGATACTGAAGAAAACAATGAAATCACAAAAGACTTTTAGATTCTAGATTTCTTTTCTCAATCTATTGCACATCCTATCATCAAAACTATTATCTATATACATAATCTTAACAACAAAAGGTTGATAAACACATAAAGAATAAAAGGATTTTCAGAACATTAAGAATTAATTGTTATGTAATCATAGACAACCATCTCAACATTATAAAGGATTTGTCTCAAATAAACAATTCGTAGTTCATCAAATTTTTTTGCATAAAACGAGTGATATCTGTAGAAGGTCCAAGCTAAACTTTCTTCCATAGACAGTTAGAGAAAGCGCATAATCATGGGATTAAAAAACAGAAATAAGTGTAATCGTGATGCTTGTTATTCAAATCATGTTGAAGAAAGGAATATATTCGAGATAAGATAGATCAAAATCCAAATTTCAATCCAATGTTTAGAAGACATATCCTTTCATTCAATGAGTATCAATACCCAGCAGCGGAAGCATTTACAATATATACTGAAGACTCAACAACTTGAACAACCCAAATCAACAAAATTCAAAATCAAAAAGATAAATTGTTGTATTCCTAATCCGAGAAAACCCCTAAAAGTATATAGGTTTTGAGTTTTAATGGTCAAAAAAATAAAAATAATAAACATTCATATTTTACTAAAGCGCACTGTTTTTCCTAGACCCAGTTTTAAGTCTAGAACCAGTTTCAAAACCTGATGGCAATAAAGATGAATATTTTTTTTTTTTTTTGGGAATTGTTATTAGCACTCCAAATTTCTCATTCTACACTCCAAACTTTCTATATTTAGAAAGAAAAATACACTTGTGAGGAGTGTAGAATGAGATTTTTGAAGTGCCAATAACACTTCCTTTATTTATTTATTTATTAGGATTCTATCGATTTTGTTGATTGAACTTAAGAACACAAATCTATGGCTCTGATACATGTTAATTCTAAACCACAAACAAAATTCAATTACTCGAATTACAACTGAACAAAATACAGAACACTAATCCATGTAAGGTTGAAGCATACTAACCTGAAGAACTTCCATTGGATGTAGCCATGGTTATTCACAATGAACTTGAATGCACACCGGCTCTTCTTTTCTTTGTTAGGATGCTTATTGCTCAAACTAAGAATAGGGCTTAGTTCCAAAAAAGCATGATCCTATGAGAGGAGAGGTCGCTATATATGTACATATGCACATATCCCTTCTCATAACAGAATGAGGACTCCCTATTAGAATCCTTATGGAAAACAACTTAAGTTTTCCTAATCCATATCAGTTCATTGCCACAATAAAATCCTCTATTGACAAGAACTAGTATACATCTTCCCATTAGGCTTTCTTATATCAATTGGTCTCAAATAGCTAATTCCAGATCACCTAATCTCATGTTCATATTCTTACATGGCAGAGAAACCAGTGTTGTAATCTCCTTAGCTATATGTTGGAGTACCAACCAAGTTATAGCACCAGGCCTGTGTTATGGACTTGTAGTTTAGAACTTTAAAGTGATACTTTGTTTAACATTTTTTATGAGCACTTTTATTTAATTTTAACAGATTGGCGAGTTAGCTAAGTTGTTTATCTGGGATTTGTATTTCCCCCTACACTTGGATGAAACACTCTTCCATGTTCGGCTACTTCTTTCAAAGCACCGGCTGCAAGTGGTGCCTGTCATAAAGAGAACCAATTCTATGCTAATTGGTTTTATTTTACAGGTATATCTATCTCTAAATTTTACTTTGTGACATAAATGGTTGTGAGAAGCCAGCAGCCAAATTAAGAATTTGTATAACAAGAAATTATATATGTTGAGCTCGACGATTTTAACTATTTGAAGTTAACAAAACTAAAATAAATAAAAATTCATGATTTATTTATGCTTGGATGGCATGGTGCTCTACATTTGCTGCTTCAATCAAATGGTTTGGACTGGTTTGATAGCATTGCTAATAAACCCTTATCCGAGTTCTGGTATATATGGTAAATCTTTATCAGACTTCCAAAATGATTTTGTTCTTTCAATTATTTTTGTTTTAATTAATCAAAGCTATATTAGTTTATGATTGAATACGTAATTCTCATTTTTATTGGAATTGCATCTTCTTTCATGTTTCCATTAAGGTTTGGTAATGAAGAGCATGTTGTAATATATATGGAGACCAAAGCCTAACAGGTGCTCTTCAGGTTCTATGAAAAAACCGAAATGGTGCAGTTGCTGTGACAGATAGAAAAACTAGAAGATCATTGGCATAAGGAACATCAACCTCTATCTTCTTCTTCAGAATCTCTCTCGCAATATAAAGTAAGTTGCTGTCACAGACAGAGGACGATGATGGCAACAATCCTGAAATAGAGGATAACAAAGAAGAATCATTGGGTAAGAATAAAACTCCTGTAGATACCTTAAAAATTGATTTAAAGTTGATATCCCTGTTACAGAGGGGATGTTGATGCAGAAAAGTTAGACAATTGGATAGATACCTTAGAAACTTACTTCACTGTGTATAAATACTCCAACTCTCAAAAGACTTTTGCAAACTTGAAACTTACAAGTCATCTGCCCTTACATGGTGGAAACTTACCGAAAATGGTATGATATATCTAAATTGACTTCGAAGGAATTCAAGATGATCTTGAGAAAACAATTCTATCCAATTGGCTACGAAGAAGAAAGATGGTACAAGTGGCAATACTTCTGACAAAAGTTCAGGTAAACTGTCGAAAGTACACTACTGAGTTCAATAACCAAGCTATGGTTTTGGATATTGATGTCGATGACTACGATGTGTTCATGAAGTACACCAGAGGTCTTATCGACTACTTATGTAAAAAACTGAAATTGTTCACCGTAGAAACTACTGAAGAAGCTATTATTAAGGCCATTACCATCGAGGCAAAAACAAATAGAATCCTAGCAGTAAATCTAATTTGAAGAAAAAAATGAAGGAAAGCAAGGAAGGTCCAACACAGAGGAACTACTATGATCATTGTCAAACTAGTAAACATGGCATAGACAAGTGCTGGACTCTTCACCCTGAGTTGCAACCGTAACATGTTAAAAACAACTAGGGGAGAATTGACAGAAATGTTACCTTGACTACGCAACATGCAGAATAGCTTCTAGAAGTGAGGTAGCTTGATGCTACTCTTGCCCTTATAACCAAACCAACAGATGTTGTAGATTCTCATAGCGGTGAAGAGTTGTTTCATGTGAATATTTAGGTGAAACAAAATGTTGTGCAAGCTATCATTGACCCTGGAAGTTAAAAGAACTTGATTTCTGAGGCTCTAGTTCAGAATGTGGGCTTATACACCACACCATATCCTAAACCATACTTGTTAGGATGGATTTAGAAGGATGTTGACTTGTAGATCATGAAGCAATGTACCTTCAAATTTGCAATCACCAATCGTTTCATTGATGAGGTGACTTGGGAGATGGTTCCATTAGATGTGTGCCAAGTCATTCTAACAGTCCGTATATGTGGGACCATGAAGCAATTCACTACATGGGGCTTCACAAGTATCGTCTTGTAAAGGACGAGAAAGAGTTCCACATCAACGCTTATAAGCCTCAAAGTACATAAAACTTCTTGATAGTTAACCAAGCCAAGAGGTTGGTTAATTCATGTGGAAGATTTGTTTTACTAATGATTCAACCACAAGATCAGAGTTATAGAGTTGTGACTTTGTCTACCTGTGGCTCCTCTACACAATGTTCCGACATTGAAAAATTGCAAAAGGAGTTCAAAAACTTGTTTTCAGATGTGCAAAGATTACCACCAAGGAGAGCTGTAGAGCACGAGATCCAATTGATAGGAGATTCACCTCTACAAAACTTAGGTTTTTATCGTCTTTCTCTGACAGAATCTAATGAGATTAAGGAGTCATCAAACCAATTGCATACCGTTCTGAAATGTTCATTGGGCCATATTGAACTATCCAACTTATGACAATGGACGCCGATGATGTTGCCACTGAGAGAGAATGAGTCGTGAAGGTGTCAGAGAGTTTTAGGTACTGCTCGCCTCGGCCTCCCAATGGCCGCCTAGGCCACTCATACACCCGCCTAGGCCGTCCAATGTCCGCCTAATTTATTTCCCGATTTTTCTTCCAATTTTGGTTAAATCCCAACAGCTACCCACCGCCTAGCACCTAAACGGCCCCTAGACTGAGTTTTAGAACACTACCCATAAGTACCATTGAATTCTCATATATTTTGATTCATATAAAAAACTTTTGAACTTTCCCACAAAATGCAACTTTTATATTCTCAAGGAAATGAATTCGGTGAAAAATGAATATATATATATACACACACACATACCATTATTGTATATAATTATATTATATATTGTTCAATTCAGATTTGAGGACGAATACGGATTAGGTACCTCTATAACCATATCCAAAATCATAACCGAATAATATTCATGGTTTTTCTTCATATTCAAAATATACCCCAATTTTCACACTCCAAATCCAATCTATTTTGACGGTTATCCATGGTTATCGAGTTTAACGGTTATAATTGTCATCCCTATCCTGAAAGCATACAATTTCCACCTGCAGTTTGTTGCACACTTTGCACTTATCTTCCACTTCTTATTCATTTTCAGCCTAATTGAAAGAGCACCATGCTAATTGGAGTGTGACCATAGTACCTCTCTCAACTGCGAAGCATCTCTGAACTTCAGCCCTTTTTCAAATTTTGGATCATCCATGTTAGCTTCTTCATTGAACTCAGGTATATGACCCTTTCATCAACCTCATAACCTAATTCATCAACACTGTGCAGGCCATCTAAGTCTTTTTTTCCATCATCAAGGGGAACATCTTTTAGATCCCTTGCATTAATAACTTCATCAGTATTTTAGTTGTCACCATCTCCACCATTACCAAACCCTTCACCTCAATGATCTTCTCCAATCAGTGTATCTACACTTGTTTCATCTATTACATCACGATCATCATCTTCATAACGTAGTCACTATCCACAAATTCATTATCAGTACTGTCTTCTTCTGCATTACCTGCCACATACAATGAATATTAGTCAAAAAATAGTTTTGAGTACATAACAACTGAATACTTTTAGTAAAAATACATAAATAAGTGTTTCCAATATTACATTCAGCAACCGCATCTTCTGCACCTTCAATTCCAACATCAGCTCCTTCTGTAGTGGACTTAGCAGTACCATTATCACTTTCATCACCACCATTAATATCACCTTCATCAGCAACATTGAGAGTCACTTCATCAACACCATTGAAAGTTCCTTCATAAGCATTGTAGAGAGACCCTTCTTTAATACCATTTCCACTTCATTGTCTTCCCTCAGTGACATTCCTTCAATCACACAAACTTCCATCAGTCTCGTATCCATATCTTCGTGATTAGCATTGTAGGCTATGTCATTCAAAATGCATAACCTTTTTTTTTTTAAGTCATCAGCACCCCTTTTTGCTCTAGACTTTTTCAATTTTGACCTACTATCCTTTTTAATAGACAATACAACCCTTGACTCCTCAATATCTTCTATAGTTACCCTCCTTTTTACTATTCCACTCTCATCTAGATTCATCAAAAGCTTATGTTTGAGGGTAGCTTGCTTTGCACTTTGATGTTCTAGGTACAATTCTATTTCCCTAGTCCCCAGAACATACTTGCACATATTATCCACATCTGGTCACGTTCTATCATCCTTAATCCCTCCCTATAAGACATCCCAAGAATCCTATAGTGATACAAAATGGACCTGTCATACCCTAACTCCTCAACCATCGAATCTATCTCAAAAAAAAAAAAAGACATAAAGTCTTTGTCTACATAATTAAACCAAGCTTCAAACCCTTCCGTATATGCATCTTCAGACCACTTCCCACCATGGTTAATCTTAAGGGTAAACAAATCTGGCATGCCTAAAAAGTCAATAATAAAGGGTTTTAAAAGCCAAAAAACACAAACAAATATGGCACCACAAGGCCTTTATAAGCCTGATGACAACAGAAAAAAGGACAAACAAACCATGGTGACCATCAATAAAGGGTTTTTTTAAAGCGTTGCAACTAGGACCATCAATGGAGACACAAACCACATGCACATTGAAAACACTAAATAGTAGAGACACCCACTGCAAAACACAATTTAAAAAAACCACATAAAAAGAAATCGGAATAAAAAGGTCACAATTCCCTAAAAATTCAAAATTGTTAAATCGTACAACCTAAAACCCTAATCAATATTGAAAAGGTAGGATTCTTACAATATGAGGATGCTTCACTAACTTCAATCTTCTGTTTTTCCTAACCCATCGCCTCTGATGGCTTGAAGGCTTCTTTTTCTAGAAACGGCTGCACCCTTCTTCGAGGTGCGCAAACATGCAACGGCGTGAGAAATTGTTGGGTCAACAGCAAGGCGAACCAACGACGAGTAAGAACGACGGCGGGAAAACACAACAGCTTGCGGTGGGGATCTAGTAGAGTTGCGAAGGAATCAGGGTCATGTGTTTTTGAGGATGTGGGCTTAGGTAAAAAGTGGTTTTTACTTTTTGAATTCTTATTTTTAACCGTTTCATGTTTTTTAGATTTTGAATTTCAATTTTTTTTCTATAAATTTTTAAAATTTTTTAATTTCCACGTGGCACGAAAATAACATGTTGCGTCAAATCACTAGCTAGTGGGTGCCACGTCAGAAGATAATAGGGTTCTTAACAGCCAACATAACTGATGTACTAAACTGTCCTAAAATTGTGACTTGAGTTAACACTCTGAGAGAAAAAAAAATTATGTACCAAATATTGAGAACCAAAAAATTTCAAAGTAATAAATTTAGATTAATTTTAAATGATAATATTTACAACAATGATCAATTTTTAAACTCTCCAAAAAGTAAATGAGAAACCTTGCTATTTGATTGCGATGTTAACTTTTATTATAAATAAAATAAAGTAAAAGATACCGTCCTAACTTGATTAATGTGGGGTGTAGACTCTAATAATGAAATGATAAAAAATGAAAAATAAAAATTGCACTCTAAATAATAAATGATGTCAAACATGTGTGTGTTAGAGGAATCTTAGAAGAAGTTTAATTTTATACATTTTGTAATATTAAAAGAATAAAATAAATCAAATGGAAAAATAAAATAAAATAAATGAAAGGGATGGGTAATTATTTGAACGTTATTGTAAGGTGTGGCTTCGACGTTACATATTTTCATCGCATTTCTCATGATATACTAAAACTCAAACCTACGTAAGCTTTTATGCTAATCAGAACTATAATGTGTTTCAAAACTTTAAATAATTAGTATAGGACTAACAAGTAACTAAGTTCCAAAATAGAAAAAAAAGTAATTAAGCTCACAGTTAACCTCGGTAGGTTTTTACATAGGAAAATCAACTTTTTGATGGCATTTCGGTAATTTGATGGACGGAACGCAAAAGACAAGGACACTCAACTCAAACCATAAGACTTTAAAGTTTGGCAGCCTATAGTTACCAACTTTCTTTTGTAATTAGACACCTTTGCAATTGCATTTACGTTTAAAGCTTTGCTATATTGTATGGAATATCAGTTTCTTATATTAAATCACATGCAGCTCATTGCTATTGCTAAAAACGCTTTGTGACTGCCTTTGAGAAAGAAATTTTATGATGTGCAGTTCAATGAGCAGCAAAAAATAGTTATCACAACTACCAAATATGAAAGATTGCTCAGAAGAGCAACAACTCGAGCACTCATCAAAGCCCCAGTCTTTCAAGAACAAAGCTCCAATCCACCAATTTGAGAACTCAGAACAAGAAGCAAGCATGGAAAGCATAGAAGGAAAAGTAAAAATGTGTGCCACAAAAGTTGGTACCACCTTCCAAACCACTGATGGTTAAGGGGTTGGTAAAGTCATTTAAAGACCAGAAGATTGTGATGAATAGTGAAGGGTTTGTTCCTACTAAACCTCCAACGTTTCAAACTTATTTATTCGGCTTGACCAAAACACTTGATATCTATAAGGAATGGTGAAGGCCAAGGTCATTAAGCTCGACCCAAAGATGACAATGCCAAAACCTGAGGGAATTAGGGGAATGAAGTATTGCAAGGTCCACTACACTTTCAACCATTCCATTATAAACTGTGTAAAGTTCAAGGATTGGATCCACGGCTTGATCAAGAAAAGGAAGATGCTACTCGAGAAACCACAAGCAACAATGATAATTGATGTTGATCTCTTTCATAAGGCCCCAATAACCATGGTGAATTTAAAATGGCCTGAGTGCAACAATAGGAAGTTCACATTGGATAATGGAGGGGAGAAGCAAGAGAGAGAGAGAGAGGTGAATGCAGCAAGAAGTTACCTGAGAGGCTTAAAACTGCAATAATCAAATGGGTGGTTCTTTGTAGTAGATGTCAGTGTGAGTAAGAGTTAGTGAATAAGAGTGAAAAGTTACCGAGTAAGGCCTTAATACCAACATCAAAAAATTATTGACCTTATAATCCAAGAGGCAAGTCTTAATGCACCAGTGTGTTCTCAAGACTAGATGTTTCTTCATCAACGAACTCTCTTTTTCTCATAGCTACCTCTTTGTACTTCTTCTTAGGAATGGCCTCACTTGACTTCTTACTCTTCCTCCTTCTTGTAGGCTTCTTGGGCTCCTCAATATACCTTAGCCCCTTTTTTACTTGCACCTCATCTATCAAGAACGGTCTAGAATGGGTATTTTAAAGTAATGCCTCACGACAACACCTTTTCTGTTAGTATTGTTTCACTTCGGAGTTATAAGCCATCTCTAGTCTCGGTGCTCCACTGGAAGGATCTCAAGGGCCAGACTAATAAGATGGGGAAAACAAGGTCTAACATACTTTATGTTGTTATTGAAATTCAGATCTACATATGGAGTATTCTGAACCCTAACTCTGAAGATATCACCTTTCTATTCTCCCTCAACACCTAGAATATCTTTGTATCAATCTTTGTCATGATTGGACATATTGGTAGTATAGGTTTCCCAATGAAGATTTTCCTTTGCCTAGAAGAAGTAGTGGGTGCTTGTACTTTGGTGCATTATGTGCAAGACTCAGAACTCCTGAATTTTGAGCTCCACACCATACCACTTGTTGAGGAGCTTGAAGCAAGTGATGATCTGGTAAGACACTGGAGTGAGATGGCAAAGCAAGAGTTTTTAACAAACAAAGACTTTCTTGCTAAAGTTTGAAATGGGGAATCTCAAGCCTCAACTCCCAATGAGTTTCATCTATCTCGTTGGCTATACGAAGGCGTTGCTTTGCTTCTTAGATCTCAAGGCTCAATCGTTTAAATATTTCTTGCCTTTTCACCTCCCCCAATTCACCGGTAGAGAAGAAAGAGATTAGCAATGATGGATTAGACCAATGAAAGGGGACGAAGGTTTTTATTTGTTAGCCAAGCCCACCTTTTACATCACCTTCTATTGCAGAAGCAAAAGAGACGTACCCAATTGACCAGTCAAAGAACATCCTTATACATGATCAGTCATTTTGACTCTCACTGGTACAAATTCTTTTTAAATCCTCTCTATCTTGTCTAAGTGTTGAGGCACTCTTGTTTCTTCTTGCATCTTGCTTGGAAAAGACCGTTGTCAAAGAAACTTCACGTTTACCATTTTCACCGACTCATACGTTCTTTGTAGAGTCTCCTAGATTTCTCAAGCATGCTTAATGTGGGAAATACCATGGATAGGTGTTGGTGCATGGCCACTCTGGGTTGGATAGACTTAGTATCGAGCTGTGAACATCTTTGCCGACCTCCCACTAGAGTGTGCGACCATTGTGTATGTTTGTCGTTCTCTTGACCATTAGAACAAACCATAAACACACATTCCATATGCAATTCCTTTCATGCATATGTTTTGCTGTTCTCTTTTACCGTTACAGTTGTTTGATATTTGTAAGTTATTCGAATTTATGCCTCCACCATTCATGGCAGTGCCCAAATTTGGTTCTAACAATTGTTGCTTTCATTAAGAGTTCCTCTTGGCCAAATCACTCTACTGGAAATATGAGTGCTAAGGAAAGCTTTGTTAACGCTAATATTAACCCAATTGCGTGACCATGATTTTTCAAGGTCGGAGTAAGGCTGATCCAAATACAATTACCTTAGAAGTTCAGTCATAGACTCACCAGCTTCAAGGAGTTGGATTAACCAGAACGGCGGTAAAACTATCACCCTGTTTTGGGGTAATAAGCGGAGTCCTAGCAACTTCACTGGATGACCATACTTGTTTTGAAAGACACGTGATCTAATCCAAATATAGACTCAATCAGATTCTTATAAGTCTTAGAGTTCCTAGAATCTTGGAATTGGCGTGCACCATAAGTAATCACAGCTCCTAAGAGGGTGCGATATCTACTTCTAAGTATCCTCCAAGATTCTCTTGGCTTAGAAAGATGATTTTATCCTAAAACAGTCTCTCCCCATAGTATAAGTACACCTATCTAGGGTTCACCTATGGTAACGCAATCTTTATACTTGAATTTTCTTGCCACTGCTTGAGTCTAAAACAATTCACTAACTTGACCCGTCGGATAGCCCACCTTCTCGAGGCTTAAGTAAAGAAACTTCTCTTTTAACCTTATGCTCGTCATGGTACTCAAAGGAGTGTGTATGACTTTGATCGGCACAGAAGTGCCCAATTGAGCATTTCCCCAAAACGGCGCCAAACTGTTAACGATCAAAACTTGGAGATCAACAAAAGACCAATACAGTTAACCCTGGATGAGTTTAACGTTAAACAAATGCGAAAACAACAAGATTTAAATGGTTCTCCCATAAGATTGGACTATGTCCATTGGAGTAATATCCCTGTAAATTTGGTATGTTACAAGAACTCTTAATATAAAGTAATCTTAGTCTATTCTCGTGATCGTACCACTTCTAATAGGCACTCATTTTTTTATATATAAGTCATGACTGAGGCCAAAAAGTCTTTGCCATTTAAGTTTTTCACAGTCCCATTACTAAATGAGTTGTACTAGTAAACTTGGTCCGTAGGCTACTTCTCCACTATCCGATTGACACATGGAGAAGAAATGGCTACTTGCTTGGTTTCCTTCGTTGACACCACTCGAGTGCAGTGCTCGTTAGTGGGTGGTAGTGCTTTGTCAACTATACATTGTTTTAATGAGTCTAGAAAGACCCTACGCTTTAATGATAAGTCGATATTATATTATATATTTTGCCCTAATCTTAGTATTAATTACTAGTTATTTTGTGAGAATTTTGATACTTTGAATTATATTTCCAATGTAGAACATTCGACTTTCTCTTGAGGAAAAAGTAGCCAAACAGACGAATTTTACAGTGATTCCAATTGAAGGAAGTTTGTGTGTTTCTCAACTTGCTCGTATCCAAGTTTTATACTTTTCTACTAGTTAACAAGCGTCAATTCTAGCTTAGTTCATCTACATATTTGGAGATCTACGTACTTTTGACAAGTTTTCATGTGATTTATTAAGGTAATTCAATCCACAGGATCTATACCTTGC